AAACCAAGAATGGATCGACGAATTTAATAGATTAACTTTTAATTTTCAAGATGATCCTTCTGCTTCAAATTAAATTTTATTATTCTAATTTGTAAATATTTATTTACTTTATAATTTCTAATTTGTATAGTGCTATTGTAATCATGTATAGACTTTGTAAGTTCGTCAAATTTGTAATTCGTCCCACAATGATTGCACTCTTTTTTCCTTACCAAGTTTTTATCCCAATTGGGTTTTTCTTAGTAAGGTTTTTAACGAGACAATCATGAATTACAAATTTAAAAATCAAAGAATAAATAATTTTTTTTATATAGTTCATGTGTTCATTTCAAATTTCAAATTATAATATACACATTATAATTATACAAATACAATATAAAAATATAATATAAAAAAAATTTGAAAATTCGGGCAGCCGGTCGGGCATCGGGCAGTCCGATCGAGCACGGGCAGGCACCTCCTGCCCGAAGCCCGTCCATGGTAATTTTCGGGTCGGGTCGGGGAGCCCGAATTTTCGGGCAGTTCGGGTTTGGTACTCAGGTAAAAATTTAAACTTTTCGGTGATCATGGACGGCCCGTTCAAAGTTTCAACACTATGTTCAATGAGCCTAAAGTGACACCACCAAGGCTAGCTGCCAAGTTTGAAGATAAGATCTTGTCAGTGACGGTCTATAACATATAATTTGGCTTTTTATCAAGAAAGTGCTCCTTTAATATCAACCAGAAAAAAAAAAGGTATGTCATTAAGTATGGCTCTCCTTCAGTGGTTAAACGAACCGTCTTTGCTCTTCTTTGCCACAGTTTTCCTTGTAATTTTTCTCAACTTCATCTTCAGAAATAACCCAATTGTTAGAAACAGAAGAAGAGCATTGAATCTCCCACCAAGCCCTCCAAAACTTCCCATCATTGGAAACCTTCACCAGCTTGGAAACAACCCTCACGTCTCTCTCCAAAAATTGGCACAAAAATATGGTCCAATTATTTACTTACAACTTGGTCAAGTCCCAACTGTGATAGTTTCATCAGCTAGAGTAGCCAAAGAAGCATTGAAAACCCATGATCTGGCCTTGTCAAGCCGTCCGCAAATCTTCTCAGCCAAACATCTTTTCTACAACTGCACTGACATTGTTTTCTCCCCATATGGAGCTTATTGGAGGTACATTAGGAAGATATGCATACTTGAGCTGTTTAGTGCCAAAAGGGTTCAATCTTTTGGCTTCATTCGAGAAGAGGAAGTTGCTCATCTGGTGCGTCGGGTTTCGGAGTCTTATCCCGGCACAACCAATCTAAGCAAGATGCTTGGGTTGTATGCCAATGATGTTCTTTGCAGGGTGGCTTTCGGAAGGGATTTCTCAGGAGGTGGAGACTATGATAAGCAGGGATTCCAAAAGATGCTTGAAGAGTATCAAGAGTTGCTAGGAGGGCTCAGTGTTGGAGATTTCTTTCCTTCCATGGAGTTTGTGCACGCTTTGACGGGAACCAAATCGAGACTTGTCGCCACGTTTCATCGTTTTGATCAACTTTTCGATCAGATTGTGGCTGAACATGCCGATCCTGATAGAAAAAATGTTGAGCACAAGGACCTTGTTGATGTCTTGCTTGATATTCAGAAGAATGAGTCTGGGGACATTACTCTCACCATGGACAATGTCAAGGCTATCATATTGGTAAAGTTTTGATTGCGTTTTCACACAAACGAGACAAATCCCACTTGGCTTATTAGATTTTTTTTTTTGTTTTTTTGTTTTTGCATAAAATCTACCACTGAACGGTATCCAATATCCATTATTTCATTGTGCAGGACATGTTTGCTGCAGGGACCGATACAACATTCATAGTCCTTGATTGGGGAATGACAGAGCTCATTTTGAACCCTAAAGTTTTGGAAAAAGCACAAGCTGAAGTTAGAAGTGTTATGGGAGAGAGAAAAGTTGTTTTAGAGAGTGATCTGCCTCAACTCGACTACATGAAAGCAGTCATCAAAGAGACCTTCAGATTGCATCCTCCTGCTCCAGTTCTAGTCCCTAGAGAATCAATGGAACATGTTACTACGGATGGATACGATATTCCAGCGAAGACGAGAATCTTTGTCAATGCCTGGGCAATTGGGAGAGACCCGGAAAGTTGGGAAGATCCAGAAGCATTCAAACCAGAAAGATTTATGGGTAGTAGTATTGATTTCAAGGGACAGGATTTTGAGCTCATACCATTTGGAGCTGGTAGAAGAATCTGCCCTGCCATGACATTTGGAACGGCGAGTGTTGAGCTTGCTTTAGCTCAGCTTCTCCATAGCTTCGATTGGGAGCTTCCTCCTGGAGTTGCGGCTAAAGATTTGGACATGACTGAAGTTTTTGGCATCACAATGCACAGGAAAGCCAGTTTAATAGTCCTCGCCAAGCCACGCTTTCCATAAGCTAGAACAATTGAAATAAAACACAACTCGCTTGCATTCCAGTTATGTTCACCCCGGGCTGTTTCAATAAATATCAGTTATGTTCACCCCGGGCTGTTTCAATAAATATTGTTGCCATACTTGCCATAACATTGTCCCTGTTTTCTTTTTCATCCTTTCATGACAACTTGAGCATTATATTCCTCTTAAGGATATTAGCGTGTCAGTGTCCTGTAGCTTTTCAGAGTGATATGATCATGACAAAGAGGCATTTTCGTTCTCCGCCAACGAAAAAATGTGAAGGCCAAAAAAAAAATGAACGAAATGCAATTGTTTGATGGGGTTTTTCATGCAAGCAATGTTAAGAAGCTAGTATTTTGGAAATACATTGCCTTCGCTTCAAGTATAACTATGTACATAGCCTCATTCTGGAAATAGAGGAAGAAAATGCACTGATGACAATAAGAAAGTGTACTTCGCCATATTCCAACAAGAAGCCGTGAAATTAGCAGTAAAAAGAGAAGGCATAAAGGTGGAATACAATTACAAGTGGCTTCGTAGAACACGTGCATAACTTGGTACGACAAATCTAATCTAAAGAACTGATTGACTAATTACAAGAGAACTGCATTGAATAAACATTTCTGTGGCAATTGCAGGTTGCTAAAACTACATCGGCGTGCGGCTGAAATCATAGTTGATTGCATCAAAGATCAAAAAACATAATTAACAAGATGAAAGTTTAAAGAGAAAACTCGAGAGACCAAAATTGCAATACTCTGGAAAATTGTTCTGTTGCTAGAAATCTGCTACTTTAGAATTTTATCCCTCGATGACCACATTCCCACGCATCTGTGGAATCTCAATGCGATCTTAACTCTTGAATGTAACTACCTACTCGCTGAGCGCCAAGAAACAAAGCATCGGCAACAAGAAAGAGTCCAACCTTTGCAAAAAGAATCAAGCCTGATTTAAGTCTCTAAAAGGATGATTTAGAAGCAAGGACTTTTATCCATGAATAAGAGAGATAGATAATTACCAGACGCGCAGAGTACAGTAACCGGTAGCCCCAACCTTCCTTGGCAGCTTGAACTCTTTGTTGATCGGTCCAACTGAAAAAAAAAGGAGTCAACCATAGAATTAACTTGCCCACCAACTACTTTTTCTTTTACAACTGCAGACAGAGTCATTCATTACATTTCCAGCTAAAAACAGGGAAAAGAAAGTATATTGCTGTAAGTATTCATGATGCATGCCTAAAGGAAAACTGGGCAAAGACCAGAGTAGTTACCCAAGAAATTCTGAAACCCCACCAATACCAGCAAACTTAATTGGCTGGGGACCTTCTATGACAAGATCCTGCACCAGATTAATTTACAGAATTGAAAAATGAGAGTGGATGAAACTGTAGTAGGAAAGTCTAAATTCAAAACACTACACGGAAAAAATAGTACACCTCCTCTTCCGCAGCTTCTAGGCCCCCTTGAACCCAGAAAAGGTTTCTGTATCCAGCATTGTACAGTAGTTCACACGCAGCGAGGGATCTGCCCAGAAATTAAATTTTGTAAATAAGGAAATGATTTCATATTTGTTCTTCACATGGTTCAAATTACTAAAGAAGTACTTGGTAAGACTTAAAGTGAAAAGCTTGAGTTCTTTATCTAAGCTGAAAAATATACTAGTCTTAAAATGTTTGTATGAACTCATAATTCTAGTGGTACGAGAAACATGACTGAAATATTAGAAACGGCTAAAATAAAGAACCCACATAACTGAAAAACTTTGATGATAAAACTTCATCCCCCATTACTTACTCTTTCCTTACAGTTGATGGAATAACAGGTCACAACTTCATCTAGGAATCCCCATCATGTTGAAATATTAGAATTTACTAACATGATATTCATACATTGCATTGGGAAATTAACTGCCTACTTAGTTACTTAAATCCAATTTGGATTAATTTCCAATGTCTATTGGACATATCAATAATATCAAAGGGTCTCCATCAGTTTAAATATAATTTATAGTCAGATTTCGCCATTTTCAAATGAAATGAAAATAAAACTGAAGAAACAATTTGAACAAAAAAGCTCACCTCAATCCCTTCTGACATGCCACTATAAGATCTGTATCTTTTGGGAACTTCTCTTCAACTTTTGACAAGAACTGGCTGTTGGAAAAAGAAATAAATAAATATCAATTTGATACAATACTAATAAACCACAAGAATTCTATGGTTTCTCACTAACCTATCATACGACAAAGTAGGCGTACCGCTCCACCAGCCCCCTACACAATAGTCATCTCTGGTTAAGAGTTAAGACAAAAATGAAAACACGCATAAGAAACTAAAAACTTGATAATGAGTTCAAAGGAATAACATAGCAAGCTTGGTTAAATTACGCATCATGAACTCATTACTGAATTACAGAGTCAATAGCTATCCATTATATTTGTTGCAAAAAAAAAAAAAAAAAAAGTGTGACTTCTTTAGTAGTAATGTGGAGCAATACCCATCACAAAACTTGTGACCTTCCTGGAAACTGTGCCTGAATCCAATCTGTTATCGACTTCAAATATGGGAATCCAGGTTGAGCCTTTAACCCATGCCTATAGAACAGGGAAAGCCAATAAGGAAACTGGCAAATGAAAGTACTATAATCCTCTGTAGTGTATTCAACAAAGAAAGAAATAAGAGGAAAGATTGAACATTTCAGTTAACACTACATCAGAAATCTAGAGCTCAACCCCTCGAGGAGAGTTGACATCCATCTCGACCCCAGCTCAATCTTGACCCCTAGAGGTCCTCATCTTGAACAATTTTGACACTAATCCATTTAATTGTCCTGGTCAGATCCCATTGTCTTGAGGTGCATTATTTCGATCTCCGTCAAATAATGATTTTCTTGTTGTGGTACATTGTCATGTTTAGACCCTTTGTTAAAATCCCCAAAAACCATATATAACTTCCTTAGCAAAATAACAACAATCACTCAAAAGAACTACACAATTAAGCTCTTTGATCTCCAACAAATTTGAACTACGAACGTGGCAATGTATTCAAAGAGAAATATAATTGAGATTTTTCCACCTTTTTGCGTTCTGTAGATGGGCGAACATCAAGCAAAGTTTTGTTAGAAAGTTGAATTGCATACCCAGCTTGGCTTGGTGTTAGGACTTTAACTTTTTCATCTCTGACCTACACAAAAAACAGAGCAAATTAGAAACTTAAATTCAAAAGCACTACAAATGAAGTTATATCCAACCCATTAAGGCAATTAAGGTAAAAAGTCAGTTGATGGAGTAAAAATACCAAAGCTTCCCATCTCTTCCTAGCAGCAGCCATATCCTTGGCTTGTTTCAACTCGTAATCTTCATTGTCAGCTTGCATTCGAATGCCAACCCCTCGCTGAATTAGAACAAAGAACAACCCAGATTAGATTTCTCAAAAAAAAAAAAAAAAAAAAAAAAAAAAAAAAGAAGAAGAAGTTTAATTAATGATAAACAAACAAAAGTAACCATAATTTTCTCCATTTGCGACTAAAAGTAGCATTTTTTATCAGTTCAGCCCACACTTCCAATCATGATTCGTGATTCGCTACAGTATTTTCTCTCACAAAAAATTTACGTAAATCAAACATAGTTTGAATCACATAGTTTGAATCCTCCAACCAAACGTCTCGTAATCTTTCCTTTTTATGTTTTTCCTCTGCATTGTCCGAAAGCCATGGAAACGAAAACTCATGAATATAAAATGATAATTGTTTACTTAACCCACGAAAATTCTGAGAACAACCCAACTTAGATTTTTCAAAATTGAACAAGTTAAATTAATGATAAACAAACAAATTAATCATAATTATGTACATTGGCTACTGAAGCAGCTTTTTTTATCAGTTCAGCTCACACAAAAAAAAAATTCGTATTTTTTTTTCTCTGTATTATTTCCGAAAGCCATGAAAACGAAAACCCAGAAATTAGAACTTAACAAAAGAGGAGAATTTGCATACAAAATGGTGGGTTCGAGAGAGAGAAGAAAGCTGCGAATCAGTGCTTCTGAAATGTGATGGTTTAGGGAGGAAGTGAGTGATTCTTCTTAGTTCCTGAAAATTAAAGCGCGAATTGGATAGACTATTGAGAGAAGGAAGTCCCAGAGCCTCCATTGGAACACCTCCGACGAGAGAATGGAGTTCTCTTGTTCGAGTGGGAAAAATGCTTATCCAGAACATAGGTATGTTCCGGACAAAAGTTAAACCCACGTTTCATAATTACGAAGGAACGAGGAAAAAAATTGCTTAAGGCCGCGTTAAACATCATTATTAATAAAAGATAGCCTTCAGTGGGTGGGTCTCATATAGAGCTGAAAATTCAGGCCGCCCGGCCCGGGCCCGGCAGCCCAAAAGGGTAGTTCGGGTCGGCCCGGCTTGGCCCTAAATAATTTTATATAAGCTCAGTCCGGCTTTAAGGCCCGACGGGCCGAGGGGCGGGCCGGGCTATTTCAGGTCGGGCCGGCCCGAATCGGCCCGGCTCGAGCATGATTTATAAAATATTAAAAAAATATAATAAAATTTATAATAAATAGTGGATATTGTAAAATTTTAATGAAATAAGACTTTATTTATGTATTTATAACTACCTCATTAAAAACCTTACCAAAAAAAATTCATTGGGATAAAACCTTGGTAAGAAAAAAAGAGTGCAGTATTATTTTTACAGTTACAATTTATATTAAGAAACAAAAATATCTAACTACCTGCTACACTACTCTCCGCATCAGAAGCGACATCTTCAATGTTTAAGTTTTGAAATTGATTCATTAAATCGTTGTCTTTGGCTGTGTGTTGCATTCGCAAAGAAGCATTTTCCCAATCTTTTAGACATATTAGCACCTCAACTATTTCTGGAGTCAACGAAGTCCTTCGTTCTTCAATTATCCTCCCAGCTGTGCTAAAGGCAGACTCTGAAGACACTGTTGATACTGGAATAGTCAAGATATCACGTGCTAATATTGAAAGTATTGGAAATCTAACACCTTGTAGCCTCCATCATGCCAAAATTTTGAAATTGTCATCATTATCAGCACCATCTATCACCGAGAATTATGTCTCAAGGTATCTGTTGAGCTCCCTATATTGTGTCGTCGTTGGTGTTGATGGTGGTGGCATGACACTTGGAGTCACAGTTGATGATGAACTAGAGCCACCACGATGAGAAGATATAAAATTCTAAAACTTCTTTTTTGAGCGGGCCGGCTAATCTTGTTGCGTTTGTTGAGTTCTCAAGTTACCAAACTTGTTCTTGTAAATTGCATAAATCTCAAATAACTTCTCACATGTGTTAACAACCTGTGAAGTATAATCTATATCCAACTGGCCACCGATTGAGAAAGAACATTTCCAAGACCGGATAATTTTACTCTAGGATCCAAAATAATTGCTAAACAATACAACAGAGGAATTTCATACCAATATTTCCTAAACTTTACTTCCATTTTTTCTACTATCGGTTTAAATAACATATCATTTCTATACGTTTCAAATAAGTCTGTAATCTCACAAATTTGATGCAACACTAATGGAGAAGTATGATAATAAATACCAGATAATAAAACAGTAGAATCATAAAAAACCTCCAAAAAATACACAAATTGTTCGCAAATAAACCAATCATTTTTCTGCAACATTGTTTTGCCCATTTTTGTATTGAAAAAAATAGTGATAATATTTTTATATGGTAAAGTACTCTTCAACATCATATATGTTGAATTCCACCTAACAGGCATGTCAAGACCAAACTTTCTAGGCTTCATACCTTCTGCTTTACAATACCTCTTAAACTCAGCAATACGGGGGTTTGAATTATGAATCCAAGAAATGGCATTTCGAATATTATCAATTGTAGAACTTACCATATGCATACCTAATTTGACAATGAGGTTAATTATATGGCATGCACACCTTTGATAAAGTAAAACTCCACCACTATACGAGTTTATAAGTCCCTCCAACATTGATATCGCCCTTGCATTAGCTGTAGCATTATCTAAGGTGATAGAGATAATGCGGTCTCGTATACCAAAATCTTGAATAACACTAACAAGTCTCTCAACAATATTGTCAGCATTATGTGAACAATCAATAAGTCTAAAACCAATAATTCTTTTTTGCATATTCCATTTAGAGTCTAAATAATGTGCAACTACGCTCAAATAATCTTGATTCGCCCTACCACTCCAAATATCAGAGGTTAATGCAATTGAAAATTTTAATGCACCTATTTCAGCTATTAATGCAAGACGCATTTTCTCATAGTATGTAATCATATCACTCCCAGTAGTAGTTCTAGAAACTTTTTGAAATTGAGGACAATATGCACATTGAATATGCGCTTCATAATGTGAGTTATCACCAAGGTTAATAGGTAAATCTAAAGCAGAAATAAATCGACATAAAGATTCCCTAGCAACTTGAGGATTATAGGACCAAGTACTTACCGAACCATCCGGGTTTAATTGAAGTTGAGTTTGTGTAGGCTCCGTCCTGGCTTGATGTAGTCTAGCGCATTTAACTCCGTGATCTCTCAAGTGTCGAGTTCCACTCATAGAATTTGCTGTCAAAACTTTTTTACAATATATACATGTAGCTAATTTTATTTTCTTACCTCCGGCGTCAATTTTCTCTTGTGTAGTGAAGTATTTCCAACATTCTGCACGTTGTCTCGAATGTTTTGTTGTCGTTGATGATGTTGAACCACTCATCCACTCCATAGTAGTCAACACCATCAAGACCATACCTATACATATTTGGTTCCATTTCCTATTGAAGTAGAGACTAGAGTACAGATTAGAGAATCACAAACCTTTTTTTTTTTTTGAACAAAAATGAAAATAGTAGTCAACACCATCAAGACCATACCTATACATATTTGGTTCCATTTCCTATTGAAGTAGAGACTAGAGTACAGATTAGAGAATCACAAACCTTTTTTTTTTTTTGAACAAAAATGAAATAACAAAATTGAGAGAAGTAATGAGTGAGAATTGAGAGTTGAGAAAAAATTAGAGGATGAGAAGAGAATAGAGAGAGTGAAAATTGTGTTGTGTGAAAAAAATAGATTAATAGAGGGAGTATTTATAGACAAGATTTAAAAATTTTAAAGGGAGAAAAACAAATGAAAAAAAAAAAAAATTTGGCAGAGGGCTGCAAGCTGCAGCCCTCTGCCAAGCTATTAGACTCACTGCCTCACAGCAGTGAGTCAGCCCACCCAATGGTAATATTACCATTGGGTAGGCTTGGCTTTGGACCCTTGGCCTAAAAAAATAAAATAAAAAATAAAAAATAAAAAAATTTGGTAGAGGGCTGCAACCTGCAGCCCTCTGCCAAGAAGGCCATTACCCATTAGACTCACTGCCTCACGGCAGTGAGTCAGCCCACCCAACGGTAATATTACCGTTGGGCAGGGCTTGGCCTTGGGCCCTTGGGCCTTAGCCCAAAAAAAAAAAAAATTTGCAAAGGGCTGCAGCCTGCAGCCCTCTGCCAAGAAGGCTATGAGTCAGCCCACCCAACGGTAATATTACCGTTGGGCAGGCTTGGCCTTGGGCTAAAAGACCCAAAAAAGAAATAAAAAAAAATTTGGGCAGCCCTTGGGCCGAAAGACCCAAAAAAAAAAAAATTCCGGGCTATTTGGGCTCTCCGGGCAGGGCTCGGGCCGCCTGCGGGCTTGGAATTATGGCCCAGCCCGGCCCTACACTAGGGCCGGGCCGGGCTCAGGCTTGTACGGATTCGTGCCGGGCCAGGCCGGGCCCACATTAACAGGCTTCGGGCCGCCCCGTCTGGCCCGGCCCAAATTTTCAGTACTGGTCTCATACTAGACTCACTTTTTATTATTTATTCTCAAAAAAAATAAAATATTTGATGAGAATCTTTACTGTGAAGCAGGATATTGTTATGTAAATAAGAAGCGTAGTTTGTTATAATTGGATTAATTTTTTAATGGTTAAATTTGTGTACGTTTAAAAAATTTATAACTCATAGCACAAAATTAATTCTATTAAAAAATAATTTAACGATAGAGCTAAAAGATCAGAAAGACCAATTCAGACTCAGCGACCCAAATTGAAACTTCAGACTTGCCAATTAAAATAGCAGCCAGCCCAGCCCGATCAGACTTTTGAGCTTAAAGTATAAGTCTAGTCTGAAGGCTTTAATAAATCAGGTTAATAATAACGGATTTCAAATTGCCTGTTTTATCCGGTCAAAATTTATATATCCAATGCTTAAAACATAGTTCCTACTCCTATTTATGACCTTATCGATTAGATGAACACACATTTTTTTTCCTACATTTATTGTGTGAACGTTTTATAGTCGTTTTTGAGTTTGATGCATTGATATTTTCTGTCGTTTTCTTGTTTTTGGCGTTTTGCCTAGCCTTGTTCATTCACATGACAGAATTGATTACATATCGAAATCAAGGCTTTCCTTTTCCTTTTTGCCTTTTTGATGAAAGTCTTCCTTTATAGAAGATAATAATATATATATATATATATATATTTTTTTTTTTTTATGTTAATCCAATAAATAATTTCTGAACTTTACCTATAATCATATTTCGGTTTCCAAATTTTTAAGACCTTCTAAACTTTATTTCGAATTATCAGTATGTTCAACTTTAACTCTTTAATTAGTTACTTGAATGTTGGAAGAAAGATATAAAAATATACGAGAGATATTAACAGAAAATAACACTTTGTGGACAGATCATAAGAATATCTTATTTATTCTGTCTTCTTTTTAACATTAAATTAATGAATGAAATGAAAACAAACTGATAAACCGAAGTTGAGTCTGACAATGCTTAGGGATCAAAGTGGTATTGGAATAAAGATAAGGAATTAAGCGTGTGACCGACCTTTTGTTTTCCTGTGCCGACGAGCTAGCTATGTCCATATTTTCCCAATAGCGTCATTGACCTTGCTACTTTGTCCTGTTTTTTTCGCTGATTTGAGTTTAGAATTCGAGTTTTGCTACAGTAAAAAGTTCTTAGAAACAGTCACATCTAACTTTTTTACTACAGTAAAAAGTTCTCACACAACATCACATCTCAACTCGAATTAAAAACTCGAATTAACGAACCGAACGTGCACGTCCTCAGTTGGTGGGCAAATCAGATTGACAGATTCTCTTCTCTTCATAAACTACAATACATTTTGTCGTGATTAAGTTAGAATTTTCCTTGGGAGTACTATTGATTGAGTTGGAATTCAGTTTGCTATAAAAATCAAAACTATATATATATATATATATATATGCTATGACGTGCAAGTTTCATCAAACAGGTCAACATATACAATATGAACACAAATGAGTTTTATGTTCATAAGTTTGCATAAAAAATCTGATAATTTAAATTTTATAAGAGAAACTACTGTAACAAAAAAAATTTACAGTAGCTTCAACTTATGAAGCAAACGCTTAAAAAAATATGTGCAATCCTGCGTGAGAAAAAAAAAGTGTACGTATATACATGTGTACTTGTGCGCATATATAGTATATCGTGAGGTTATAAGTTGAACAGATCATTCCCTTTCAGTATGAACACATTTGTGAAGAGTTCGTGAAAAATGCACAATGTAAACATGGTCGACGTGCGAAGGATTAGGGATGATTAGTTTGCCATCTCTATCGAAGATCTAAATCCAGCTTTTCTCCCACTTGTGCTTATTTGACTTTTGTAACTCACCAAGTGGGTTTGTCTATTTCTCTGCAGACATACAATCGCTCTTTTATATAATTAGTGGCTGAACCCCTCTTTTAGATAAACGGTTAATTTTTTTTGAGGAAAATGATTTTTTTTTTCAGTGTTGTGACTCTATTATGAATAAGGTAAGGAAATACATATTTTAGTACGTGTAATAAATATTGGTGCGTGGAATAAATATTATATATATATATATATATCGAATTTGGTCAAATTCAATACAAGTGAAGTTCGGAGGTCATACAAAAACTCACGAGTTTCTATACTTTAGTATTTTGATTCAAAAATTTAAATCTATTCTATGCATTATTGGTTATTTTAGAGTTTTTTTTTTTAAAAAATTTATATGTAAAAACTCGATGTCCGAAGAAAGATTTCCTCATATTTTGTAAGATTTACGCAAATTTTTTTTTTTTTTTTTTTTTGAAAAAGTTAAGATGTTGAAATTTGTATGAATATCGATATTTTAATCATTCTTACTATATATTATTCGGTAAATGATGTCTGATCACTAAGGTCGTTTGTGCGGCTTCCTCTAGCCGGGCTTGTGACTTGATGAGGAAGAGACGTACGAAAAGGAAGATAGAAACTTGATACGAAAAAGAAGATAGAGGATAGAAAGAGACGTACGGAAAAGAGAGGAAGGATGAGGTATGTACGGAGAGTAAAAGTGCCAAAATAAAGTGTAAACTTGGAACTTAATGAAAAAATTTACAAACCAATTCCATTTACTCAACCCTATTGTGAAATAATAGTTGCATGCATAATCAAACAGTAATTTCAGCTCTAATTTCACAATAAAGTGTAGTAATTTCAGACCTAATTTCACAATAAAGTGTATAAATCGAATCCCTCACGTTAAAAAAAAAAAAAAAACATCGTTATATATTAATTACCTCAGCTACAAGTCACATCCAGAACTCAAATGTTATAAACGTGCATTTATAAAAGAGTCCCTACAAGCCTAATCATTTAACCAAAACCCTAGGAAAAAAGTATGAATTGGCATTAAAAAAAAATCTCCAAATCAAGGCCAAGAAAAAAAAGTATGAATTGACATAAAAAAATCTCCAAATCAAGGCCAAGAAAAAAAACTACGAATTGTCATAAAAAAAATCTCCAAATCAAGGCCAAGAAAAATCATGAAAGAAGATGAAGGAAAGGATGACAAAAAAAAAAAAAAAAACGTTTGTCTTGTTCTTTTGTGCGAAATTGTTCAACACCCCACCGCAAGTGGTGCCGACCATGCACGAATGACAAGTAGACTAAAGTGTTGTTTGGTATAAGAGTTTTAAATCCGGAATTATGATTTTGATTCAAAATCAGTGTTTATTATAAAAAATAAAAAGTAGTTTTGATTTGACTCACTCAAAATCAGTGTTTGATTAGGATGGTTTTGATTCAAAGTTTGAACTCTGATGTAATGTTTTAAACCATGAATCACTCATGATTCTAAAACCATTCCCATTGGTTCTAGGTAGTTCAAACCTCTGATTTTGGTTCTGGTTTTAAAACCATGATTTGGACACAAAATTATGAATTATAGTTATGGTTCTAAAATCAAAACTAGAATTACCTTAATTTAAATCATCATACTAAACGAATCTTAAAACCAAACTTGCACAAGTGGAACACAAATAGCACTGGCAGTAAAATATACGTATTTTCTGGTGTGAAATTTGGTTTCTTCTGAGGAGATAAGGATCACAAATTGAATTTGATCACTTCCACTTTTTATATATTCGATCCCACCATGTGTCCCAATATATCCATATATATGTATATTGCTGGATTAGGCATTGACTCAAAGGCTTCAAATTGACAAAGTTCAAAGCTGATGATTTAAGTTTAAAAATTGTGCCGACTGGATTTAGTCAAGTGACTAAATGGTGGCCAAATAAAATGAATTGTCACAAATTAGCTAATTCTTAACTACAAGTTTTTTGGGACCACAGTTCGTTCTTAAAGTTTATATAAGGGGGCTTGGAGAAAGGGTTTAAGCATCTCTTTCTCACTCTTCAAAGAGAATTCTCATAATGTGAGAGAAATTTAATTTCTCCAGTTTTCTTTTTTTTTTGTGAGATGTTCCTCCAATTTACATGAGAGAGTGGTTCTTATTGTTCTCTCCATATAATTTAGAGAGACGGTTATAATTCCTATTTTCATAGTAAAATCTTTCTACACTTATTCTGTAGTTTATAATATGTCTCCTTTAGAGATTTTTCACGTAAAATACTGTTTGTCTATATTATTTTTATTTTTACTCATTTATTATTTTACAACCAGATTTGCAGATATATATACACATGATATGCATGTTACAAGAAGCTCAAAAAACAAGCTGATCATATCATTTTACCAATATCTTTTATTAGCTAGTAAATTATAGGTGTCTTTACTTCCATATTCTTGAGCAATTTCAACTCGATTTCTCGTATTGCCATGATTCAGTTCCTCTTCATATTCATTTCTCTCACTCCCATTTTCTCAAGATTAATAATGTCCTTCAGAAGAAAAAAGAGAAAAGTTCAAGCCAAAAAATACCCTCCTGGTCCCAGGAAGCTACCTCTCATAGGAAACCTTCACCAACTGGGGAACTTGCCCCATCGATCCTTAGAACAACTTTCCGAAAAATACGGACCAATCATGTTCTTACAGCTTGGATCAATCCCAACCCTTGTCATATGCTCAGCCGATTCGGCCAAAGAGATCTTCAAAACTCATGATGTCGTCTTCTCAGGAAGGCCTGTTTTGTATGCTGCGAAAAAGTTCAGTTATAACTGCGCTTCTGTGTCTTTCGCTCCTTATGGTGAGTACTGGCGTGAGATTAGGAAGATCATGATCTTGGAACTTCTTAGTGCAAAGAGGGTTAAGACTTTTCAAGCTGTTAGAGATGAAGAGGTTGCTGTACTTCTCCAAATCGTTGCTCGTAATTCTTCGGTTAATCTCAGCGAACTCGCGCTTTCTTTCTCGAATAACATCATTTGTCGAGTGGCTTTTGGTAAGAAATTCGAAAATGGGAATACTAGATTTCTTGAGATGCTTCATGAGACGCAGGGTTTGCTTGGAGGCTTCTGCATGGCAGACTTTTTCCCATGGCTGGGTTGGCTCAACAAGTTGAATGGTCTTGAAATGAGGCTAGAGAAGTGTTTTAGGGAATTGGACAACTTTTATGACAAAGTAATCGAAGAGCATCTTGATCCTAAAAGGCCTAAGGCTGAGCATGAAGATGTTGTTGATGTTTTGCTTCAAGTTCAGAGGGATCCAAGCCAAGCCATAACAATCAACAATGACCAAATCAAGGGTGTTCTCACTGTATGTATCCTCATTTTGATCCTTTTACGTACTCTTATTTGCTTCCTAATAGAACCATATTTACGACAAAATCACTACTAATATCACCAAAGTCACGTAGTTTTACAATCAAATTAGAACAAGGACATTTAAGGGTAAAAACAGATTTATCTCTGATCATACTATGCAACGCTTTTTCAAGTGTTAGATACGGTTCATAGAAGTTTCGACCATTGAAATTTTTATTATTGAATCTTACTTGATAAAAATAGCTCAAATTTGTTAATCTATAATCCGATACACACATGTTGTGCACGGTATAATAAAAAAAGAAAATGGCTGTAACCATAGTCTTGACCAAAATTTTAATATTTCTATGAAAAGTAATTAGTCAAATTTTTATTTTGAATATCCAGGACATATTCATTGCAGGGAGTGACACAACTGCAACCGCACTAGTGTGGATAATGGCTGACCTAATTAAGAATCCATCAGTCATGAAAAGAGCACAAGAAGAAGTGAGAGAAGTTTCCAAGGGAAAAGGGAAGGTTTTAGAACGAGACCTCTCCAAACTCAACTACCTAAAATTGGTAATAAAAGAAGGGTTGAGACTTCACCCTCCGGCCCCATTACTAGTTCCAAGAGAAACCACACAAAGTTGCATAATAGAAGGCTGCCAAGTCCCTCCCAAAACAAGGGTCTTTGTCAATGCAAAAGTCATCGGTAGGGACCCGAAATACTGGGAGGATCCGAATGAGTTTCGACCCGAGAGGTTCTTGGATAGCTCGGTGGATTTCAAAGGCCAAAACTACTTTGAGTTGTTACCATTTGGCGCTGGAAGGAGGGGATGTCCTGGGATCAACTTTGGAGTGGTATTGATTGAGCTTGCGCTGGCAAATCTCTTGTGTCGTTTTGATTGGCAGCTGCCTCATGGAGTGAAGAGAGAAGATTTGGATATGGAAGAAGCATTTGGGCTTACCATGCACAAGAAGATTCCTCTATGCTTAGATGCTACAATAGTAGATCTTTGAGACTTGAGTAATCCTATGGATTTTCCAGAAAGAGCCGAGGCTTGTTGAATAAAATACAAGTTAATCTTTGTTTCCGAATGTTATTATAGAGTAAATTTTGGGTTCGAGTAATCTCTAATTAGACTGATCATAAGAATCAAATTTTAGTAAAGCACTAAAGACTACTTATTAAATAGACAATATCTTTATCAAAATTAGTTAAATTGTCATATTATTTATTTATATTAATATGATCATGGTTTAATTTTTTATTTCTTATTTGATCTTAGGGTTAAACCTGTACATTTTAGAGTATAAGAAGGAGAGATGAGAAGAATAATTAGGCTTTATAAGGGCATTAGACTTCTATCTTAAAAGGCCAACCTATTTTAACATTAACACACCCCTATAAGATAGTGTTTGTTAGATCGGCCTAACTCCTTTGAACAGTGGGTTATGATACCATTTTAGAGTTTAAAAAGAGATATGATAAGAAAATTTAGGGAGAGTAATTGGACTTGATAAGGCATCAAACTTCCATATTAAAAAGAGCCTAATATTATAAGGCACTATGCATTATACTTTGTACATGAGTCTGGACTTTTACCCTTTATTCTTGATAAATGTCCTTTTGTTAATATAATTATTTAACTAAAAGGGTTATGAATCAAGAGTAAAGAGTAAAAATTCTAACCTATGCACTTTTAAGGGATATTTCTCAATATTACTCTATTAAAAAGTCAACATGTTAAGTAAAGTGGCCCAATATCCTTATTTAAGTGTGATAATATTTGTATTTAGATGATGTGGGATGAATATTTTACCCTTAACAATACATAGATATGGTTGAAACTCCGTAAAAAAAGATGCAGTTGAAACCAGTGCATTATGTTTTTTTTTTTTTTTTTTTTATACTCATCACTCAATGCTAAAGTAGCACAAGTGACGACAATAAAGTAATAAACAGTTAAAACCCATGACTTTGTATATTATTAGTTTAGTACGCGTATTGAGTTGTAATTGAAGTTTGTATGAATTAAAATATGAATAATAGTATATAAGGACAAAATTATAATATAAAATATAGAGTTTAAATACAGGAAGAAAAGGAATATATGTTGATAGTAATTTAAGTCAACAGGTTAATTTAATCATAGAAATACATGAAACATTTTCAAATTTTAAAATAACAAAATTAAAAAACAAGGAGTTGAAACCTAAAAGGAAAAGGGGAAAAAAACTTACGTCTTTGTTTTTTTCCTGAAAAACAAAAAACAAAAAACAAAAAAAAAAACATTTCGTTTTAGACTACCATAGAATGAACATAAATTATGAGATAACAAGACAAAAAAGGAATGGAGTTGAAACTTAAAAATGAAAAGAAAAAAGAGAGTAAAGCAAACTCACTATTTTGAACTACTAAGGATGAACAATGGTCAAATATTTACTCTTTTCTATATTTAGCATTTACGATAAGGATTTACGATTTCAGATTTCAGATTTAGGATTTAACACAGGATTTAAGATTTAACGATTCCTCCGACAACTTTTTTTAAACTATGCTGGTGTTGGTGCGTTCTTCTCTTGCTTACAGATACGAACTCTAAGGATGCTACGGTTGCTACGGTTAAGGTTTCAGTCCTTACCTGGTGCAATGGCTACAACACATACCTTGTTCCTTCTGATAAGTCCCGGAAAAGGGATTCCCTTTCTCGAAGCACGGCTATGAAAAACAAAATAAAGAAATGATAAAAGGGTTAGAAGGGAGGAGGAGGAGGAGGAGGAGGATGCTGATGGTGAATGTTGACGGTGAAAATTCATCAATAAAAATATTAACAAGTTTTAAAACGGTTTGCGCCAGTTTTAATGATCAAAATTACGGTTAAAAATAATTAAAAAGTAAGAACGCACAAAAATTATAGTGGTTCACTCTTAATTCAAGAGTTACGTCTACTGTGGAGAGGAGAGAGTTCACTATTTTTCAGAAAATTACACACTCGAATTGCTCTCAATGTGACCTAGGGGTCTTTCGACCTACAATCTCTTATTTATATCCTTGACCATCGTCCCTGCTGGTTCCATATTTTATTCGGGGATGTTTTCATTAATCTTTTGTGATAGTTTCTCAAAAGATAGAGATTACAATCAATCAAAATGGTTTTATTATTTAAATTTTGTATATTTGAATTACAAATAGCAAATCTCGGAGTAAATCTCGCATCTCTCTCGACTTGTGAATACTCAACTTTATAAGCGCTCCCAGAACCATCTTCGCCTACAATTGTTGGTGCGGTCAACCTCATGTCATCCTTTGCATCTCCACAAAGTGGTCGACCTCCTAAGTATGCCACTCCCTTAACTAGCGGTCTATTCTTAACAAAATTGTCATCCGACGCGGCGACTAGGGCTAAGCTGTCCTTGATCAATTAATGCTCTTATTTATGGCATGTGCCTCATTCAGAAGAATTCAACACTTTTATTATAGTTAGGATTAGGATTTGTGATCTGGAAGTTCTAGTAAATTGCCTTATACAAGTTCTAGTAAATTGCCTTATCACGACCCCAATGATAGGACCATGATTATTGAGATTTAATTTAAAATTTAACTTAATTAAACTGGAATGTTTAACAAAAATCACAAAAATAAATACATAAATCTCAATAAAGTTTGCTCCAGAGACTTTCTTTTAGAAATAATATTTAAAACAGTCCATAAAGTCTAAAGAAAATAATACAACTCTGGGACAATGTCGACTAATACAGTTTAAATACAGAAATACAGTACATCTCATAATTAAAACTGTAAATCTGAAACAAACGTACCGATCTGAATCTCCCGCCTTCAATCCATTGGCATCCACTTGTCACGCTGTAAATCTAAACCGCTAACTCTGGATGAGGGGTTTAAAACAATAAAAGCATAATAAAAGTGTGCGGAATGCCCAGTAGGATATAATTTTTATAAAATATTATAAATAAAAATACTCACGGCCCGAAGATATACACCCGGAACCGATCATACAATTTTATAAAACATTATAAATAAAGGTACTCACAGTCTGAAGACATACACCCGGAACCAATCATACAATTTTATAAAACATTATAAATAAAGGTACTCACGGTCCGAAGACATACACCCGGAACCGATCATCTTTTAAAAAAAATGAAAAGAAATACTCACATAGTAGTAGCAAAATATCTGTATAATGAAAATATGCAGAGTCATAAGTCATAGCACCACTAAGCAAGAAGTGGTAAAATATTTGTCTAATGAAAATGTGTAGAGTCATAACACCACTGATTAAGAAGTGAATCCGTATGGGTTTTGGGTCTTGCCCCCAAGGATACGATTCACATATCCCGATCTCTGAGGCCACATTGTGTTTTATCATTTCTTAAACTATTTCATTTTAAGAAATGATACTTTCAAAAAAATCTCATTTCTAAAAATCATTAGAAAGTCAATAGCATTATTCATGCTATTCTTTTAAAATCATTTTCTTTCAACATGTTTTGTTCTAAAACAATTTCATTGGTAAAAGACATTTAAAGTACGGCTAATAAGGATAGACAAAAATATTCTACCTCTTGGCAATTTAATCTACAGATAACTTTACGTTATCCAACCGTCTATTCTTGAAGCTCTATGGCTCGCTCTGAACCTCAACTCGATTCACCTCGATCTGCGTGCTCAATTCGGTAGACTTACAACATAGTCGAATTGGTGCAAACGGAAGTCACCATTGCATCCAGCACGTCGAACCGAGTTAGGATATGGTCTCAGATCTTTGATCAGATGTCGGGAACCTCAAGAACTGAGACACGTCAGAATCCGACCACCGGCGGCGGCGGAGGTTGCCGGAGCATATTTTCGCGACGGACTTGGGTCCTACCCTCACTAAATCAACCATTCTGAGTTCAATGGTGCCATCAATTTTACCAAATTCGGCCTCTATCTACTCTGATCAAACCCAAAAATATCGGCAAAATCCGGCGACTTGGTTCTCGATTCTCCGACTGTGGAATCTCAAAATTGGTTAAGGGCCAAAATCGTGATGATCTAACGGTTCGATCATCGGAACCAGCCTACAACACGACAACGGCGGCGGTGAGCTCAAATCTCCGGCAATTGGCGGTGGAACCTCAAATTTATGTTGGGGCTTTTGCTCAACATCCCGTTCTGAGTCTATCGAGCCCAACAGTGTCACTCACGACGGTCGGAAAGGCATAGTTCAGTGAGGGGCGACGGCGGCCAAATTTCATAGCTCCGGCGGGAATCGAGCTGTGAAAAAAGATGGGTTTTTTTCATCTCTTCGAACTAAGTCGATAGGGACCTGAATCACTCCGATCGGAGGTCAGACGGCAAAGTTACGACGATGAGAAGTTTTGGTCGTTTTCAAAAATTTGGCCGGCGATTGCAGCTGATTCCAGCAGAGCTAGAAGTCGTGTGACAGGTCAATGTGCTCGGCTCGTCGAGAGCTCTCTGATGGTGTAGGCAGTGTCACGAAACGACACCGGAATCTCACCGGTGGTAGGTGGCCGGCATGGAGAGAGAGAGAGAGAGTAAACGTCAGAGAGAGAGAGGAGAGAAAAAGGAAAAAGAAGAGAGATTAAGAGAAAAGAAGAAAGAACAAGGAAAAAGAAGAAAGAAAATAGAAAAAAAAAAAAAAAGGAAAATAGACTTGGACCTTATGTACAAATTTGATAATTAGACTTTAAAGCTCAATTTAAATAGAGTATGGAATGATTCATTATTCTTATTCTAAAAAATTAGCTACCGACACTTAAAATTGTTCGATGGATAGTAATGTTAATTTTAAAAGAATCATTTTTAAAAGGAAAAGTCATTTACGTGATAATTACAATTGATAATCTTTCACTAATCTCATATTAATTAACACTAATCACTAAATTTGATTAATTAATCACAATTTATTTAACTGAATATTACACTTATATAATGTTATTTATTAATAACCGGTGATATAATCTTAATTTAGTGCTCTTTTACTTAAGCTGTATTTTGATAAGAACAATTATTCCAATTGTGGCGGTTATAAAGTGTCGCATTGCAATCTACAACTTGTTTGTTATGATACTTTCACAATTAAAATGGAAGCGGACAATGTCGAATTACTTGCATGCATTTAGTGTTTTTTCGATAAGA